CCCTCCCCTGGATGTTTGGTCCCTTGGAGTTTTATTATATGAAATCCTCACGGGGCAGCTCCCGTTTAATGGGGCTAAAATAGAGATGGTCCGAACTATGCTATCTGGGAGGTACTCTTGTCCCCAGTCCATCTCCCGGGATGCACAAGATCTCATCCGGAACCTCCTGCACTCCAACCCCAGGATGCGGCCCACAGTGCAGGAGGTGCTGCAGCACGAGTGGCTCCAAGGTGTCCCACCCCTCAGTCCTCCTGAGCTCCCTATCCCTGTAAAAACTCATATCCTCCACCTGATGGACAGGATGGGATTTGACCCGCCGAAGGTCCTTCACTCAGTGAATAGAAAGGCGTACAACAACGAGATGGCCACATTCCTGCTGTTGCAGAGGCTGGCACTCCAGGGGGTGCCCTTAAGGATATGCGTGAGGCCTGTGTGGGCACCTGAGAATGAGGATGCCCCTGAACAGGAAATAGCATCAACCTCAACAGCTCCTGCACCCTCATCTCACATCCCCCGGAGGAGTGCCAGCGCACTTGTCACCTGCATGGGCCTCTTATTTCCTGGGGTGAAGCCCACAGGAAGGCAGGGTGGTGGAGGCTCCCAGCCACCCATTCCCATCCCCAGGACCCCAACTCCCGGCATGTCCTGCCAGCCTAGCCCTGCCGCTCCCAGGGTGTTCTGCCAGCCTGGCCCTGGGGCTTCCTGCTCTACCTCCAGCCCCACCTCCACCCCTAGCAGCAGAGGGAGGCAATGCTGGAAGGCTCTGAAGAGGAGCAGCAGAGACTACCTGACAGCCCTGTGCTGCGGCTGCCTGCCACCCTCAGGGCGCCACCAAAACAAGGTGGCCCCAATGTAAGTAGTATCCAGCAGAGACCCAGACAACCCTCAAGGAGGGAGGGAGGTTCAAGAGCTTCCTGTGAGGAGTGGGCTGTGTCCTGATAATGTCTTTTCAATTGTCAGGGAGGAGAGGAAGGCAGAGGGATGGAGGAGTCATGGTCATAGGGAAGAGTCTCAGATGGACAGGCAGACTTGCTGTGGGGTCTACTGCAGAGGAGGGTGGGGGTGACCGCAGCCAACAACAGCATCTGATGTTTCCACATGTCTGCTATGTGTCCATTTCACACATCTCCTTGCATTTTTAGTACAGATCCTTGAGAAGTGACTCCGTAGATGTGGCGATCCTGCTCATGGGGTATAAGACCGAGGGCCTTACCAACACTCCAAGGAGCTGAGTGCAGTGAAGAACACCTGGGAAGGAACACACTGGACAAGTTGAAAAATAAAACAGACCTTTATTAGTCTGGCCAGATGGCACTCCCAAAGCAAAATAGCTTAGAGTCCGAGGCTGTTCTTATAGGGTGTTGAGGGGGAAGTTAACATACAGAATTGAAGAAAAGGGACAAAGGTTAGTGGTCGACTGTCATGTATTGATGGTCAGCAGACATTTGCAGCTTGTTCTATAGATTGTGGTGTCCGGAACATCAGTTCTGGGCAAACAAGGAGTTGAGTAGTTTACTTTGGGACTTTAGGTCTGTTACAGATTTTATCCAGTGTCCCAAAACTAACAAGCATCTTTATCCATTAACTCACATTTAATCACAGTGAGGCTGGAGAAAAGAAACAAAGGTTATGCAGTCCCACATTCCTCACTGATTTTTTGGAACTTAAGTAATCTTACGCACAAATGTAGGCATCCATTGTATACAACAACATGACAATAATAAGCATGTACACACAACTATGATGACAAGAAAAAGTTGTTTTAACCATTGTAGGTTGGGCAACCACGAAGTTAACCATTTGAACAAGTCCCCGCCATCCTCATCATGTACTCTTTGAGCCAGATCTTCTAATTGTTTTACCTTTTTTTGATCTTTGGACCATTATCGGTAAGATTGAAACAACACATATTTTTTACTCTTTCACAACCTTGGTGGTGGAAGAGCAACAAATAGTCTATTGCTGTTCTATTATCTAAGATTGCCTGTCTCTGTTCCTGTAACTCTTGGTTAATTAATGCCAAGGCTGATGAGGTAGCATTTAACCCTTTGACCACCTTGTAAGCTAATTTTTGTACTGCCTTTTTAGCATGGACTCCTATAGAAGGCAGGGCAACAAAAGATGCTATCATGGTTATTACTTTAGCATCTGTTAACAGACCTACGTCATCATCACATCCTGGTGCAGTGTAAGGTGACCAACGTTTAGTTCTGTTAGGCACAATCAAATCAGTTCTGTCTGGCAACACTACAGCTAGATGACTCAAACAGCAACGGGTCTTGGTTAAATTTGTTGGAATATAACTAAAGGTTATTTCTTTACAGGTATAAAACCATCCTATGGGCAGGGAGATATGGCAATTGTTATACACAATTTTTTTGTTTCATACGGCAGGACATCCCTTCTGACCGTTTTATCCTCAGACATTTGGTTGTACAATTTTTATACATAGCACATTTAAGTTTTGTTTGACATAATTACCTTGGGTGTATACAATTTGACAGCATTTTTAGGTTTACAGCAGGTGTCATGCTCCCAATTATAACTATCTATGTAAGTAAGATTTTTTTCCTGGGATGTCCTTAAATAGGTTATAGGGTCGTATTAATTCTAAAGAGGTGCATACCGGAATAAGACAGCTTTTCAGCACATAATGGAAATTTACATCAACATTTAAGCAGAATTCAGACAAGTTAAGCGAGTTTGCCAATTGAATCCATACATTTTTTGTGTGATCTAGTCCTCTTGGGGGCAATACTGCCAGTGTCCCAGAGAATATTATCATTAAGGTGAAACATCTCCAACTCGTTCCAGTCTTAGCTTTTGGTCGCCTGGTTGGCTGGTAACCTTCCATTTATTCCTCCCATACCATGAACCCTTAAGGCAAATTTGGAGAGCACCAGGCCCAATCTTGGACTTAAAAAGGAAACTGAGGCTGGGTCTGGGGCCTGGGGCTGGGTCTGCCAGCCCTTTCCTGAGGGAGGGAAGGGTTTTAATGGAAATTGCATTATCTCCAGTGAGAAACAGAAGTGGGTTTTTTCTGTTTGTTTTTTGTTTTTTGTTTTGAGACAGGGTCTCACTCTGTAATTCAGGCTGGCCTTGAACTCACTATGTAGCCCAGACTGGTCTTGGAACTCGTGGGGCTCCTCCTCAGTCAGCCTCCCAAGTGCTGGGATTACAGGTGTGTGCCACCACACCTCAGTCCAATCACCCTTGCCACAGAGGACCAACCTCGGGTTCCAAGGAGACAAGAAGGCCTTGCCACAGAGCTGAGACTTGAGCTGGGACTTGAACTGCCAGCCCTAACACGGGGCCCTGTTGCTTTGGTTTGCCTATGCCGATTCCCAGTGTGAAGACCCTGGCTTCAATACCTAATACCACAGAGGGGGGAATAAAAAGGAGGGAGCAGGGCTGGGGCCTTCTCTTCTGCCACATGAGGCAGCAAGACAGCCTTCATTAAATCTGTAAAAAGGGGAAAATTAATCTTGGTGAGATCCAAGTGAGTTAGGCACAGTGAGTGCTTGGTGGGAGCCCGGCACAGTGGGCGCTGGGGAAGTCTCCATCCCTGTGGGTTGGTGCAGCCAGATGCTGCAGGAAGTAGAATGTGAACCTGACCTGTCTGTCTCCCTGCCCCAGGGAATGAGGATTTTTGCCTCCTGTGATTAAAAGGGTCCAACACAGTTCCAGATGGCACAGGGTCCCAGGTTGGTGGCCCTAAACATCAGCCCTGTGACCTATATCTCAGCCTTGCTGTCCCACACATCTGGTCGAGAATGAGTGAGCAAGGGGTTTTCCTACTCTTGTCTCCCTGTGGTGAGGCTACTTGCTCTGTACGGCAAGGTAGAAGGCTTTTCAGTTAAATTAGAATCCCACCTTGGTGCCGGGGATTTAGCTCAGTGGTTCCGCCACCTGCCTCACAAGCACAAGGTCCCGAGTTCGATCCCCGGTACCAAAAAGAAAAAGAATCCACCTTGGTGGCGCACGCTGAGGAGGCTGAGGCAAGAGGATTGCTGTGGGTTCAAAGCCAGCCTGAACTACATAGGGAGACCCTGTCTCAAAAATCAAAACAACAAAAAAAGAAAGAGACAGAGAAAGAGACCTGGTTCTAAGAAAAATATTAAGTAGCTAGACCGTGGCACGGTGAGTGAAGACTTGGCAGATGCCCCAGTTGGGAATACTTGAGAGGAAACCTTCACCATCCCTCCCTCCATTTGGCGGACGTGTTCTCCACCTAGCGGCCACAGTGCGGAACTATAGGCTGTTTTTTTGGTGGCCATGGGAGCAGTTTAAGGTCAACCGAATATTTTGCCAGAAGGTGAGAGAGAGGACGTTAGTGAGACTCGGCCAGAAAACATCTTTAACGAGTTGCAGACCACTTGAAAAATATCCCAAAGAAGTCCTCCTACAAAACAGGCAAAAGTAAAAAGAGGTGAGAGTTCACAAATAATCCGTTCTCCTGCTTTTCTTGAAACATTATAGCTTTATTGTCCCCTCCTTCCCGTTCCTCCCTCTCCAGGACAGCTTCACGAGTATGTCTCGTGTTTCTCCCGGGCACCCCGTTCACTCGGCCCTTCTGCTGGGGCTGTAAACTCTGGGGCTGCTTTCTGGCGCCCGGGACAACTTTGCCCTGAGTGTGTGCTCCCTAAGGGGACAAAACAGACAACAGCAGTGTGGAGTGGGGCTGGGGCCTCCTGGCTGCCACTGTCCACACCCTGTGCTCCTGCCCCAGGCCTCCCCGGGCGCCTGGCATCCGAGGGGGACCAGAGCCACGGGGCCTGCGTGGGCATTCGCACCCCCACCCCCCTGATCTCTGTGTCCACGAGGGTCCTGCCCTCCTTCCAAACTGCTGTGATTAGGTCGGGCCTCGAGGGCTACGGTGAACCTAAATATTCCCGTGGGAGCGTGAGCACCTGTTAGGAAGTGTATATGCTACCGGCCGAGTGTAACAAAGCATCCGTCACATCAGCAGCTTCAAGCAGGAGCAGCGGTTCATTGTTCACCTCATGGGGTTTTTGCAGATCAATCCCTAGCGGGAGAGCTCTGGACCCCGCAGGCAGGGTCTCATTGGGGCTGGGGCTGTCATCACCCGAAGGTGGGGCCTGTGTGGCAGGAGGCACCTTGAGATGAGAGCTTTGGCCCTGGGCAGGGGCCACAGGTCCCAGCTGGGGTTCTGACCAGGGACTGTGGTGAGACTGGTATGGCCCTCTGCACCGGGCTGCCTGGGCAGAAACAGAAAACACTGAGGGGGCAGAGCTGTTCCCATTGTGCGTCTAAATACCAGAGTCCTGGAGCAACTGCAGAAAGCCGTCCAAATGGGTGTGGCACACACCTGTGACCCTAGCACTCTGGGAGGCTGAGGCAGGAGGATAGAAAGTTTGACCCCAGCCTGGGAAATTTAGAGACTTAAATGAAATCCTCTCTTAAAGTGAAAAATAAAAAAGGGTTGAGGATGCAGTGCAGAGGCCCTGGGTTCAGCCCTCAGTACTAAAAGAAAGAAAGAAAAAAAAGGCAGCAGGGCATGGCAATGCATGCCTGTAAATCCAGCACTGGGGAGGCTGAGGCAGGAGGATCACTGTGGGTTTGAGGTCAGCCTGGAAAACTGTCATAAAGAACAACTACAACAACAACAACAACTAATAATAATAATAATAATAATAATAAGATAATCCAGGAGCTACAAAGTATAAAAACTCCCTAGAGGGTTCGACTGCAGAATCCAGCAGGCAGGAGGAAGAACGAGGACCCTGAGGACAAGGCCATTGGGATTGTTCTGTCCGAGGAGCAGGGAGGAAAGAAAGAAGGGAAATGCACAGAGCCCGAGGTCTTCAAGAGACGACGAGTGAACCCTCCACACAGGGACGATTCCCAGGGGAAAGCACAGGGATTGCATGGAAGATACAACGAATGGTGAAACACTTCCCACACCTGAGGAAGGCCCTAAATAGGCACAGCTAAAAAGCCCAAGACTGGGAGCCTGAGGCAGGAGGATCGCCCTAAGTTCAAGGCCAGCCTAAACTATATAACAAGAGCCTGTCTCAAACAGACAGACAAATGCTAGAGAGAGTCCTTCAGGCTGAAATGACAGAGCACTAGACAGCCCCCATGTCATGTGAGGAAACACCAACAAGAGGTAACTGTTGGGTAATTAGAAAATAGGTCATTAGGAGAGCCAGAACTGTTACACTTTGACTTTGTAGCTTATTTATATGATTTACAAGCAAAAAGTAAAAGTCATCAAATTAATGATGAATCCCTCCTGATGGGAACACAACATATAAAGACATTGTTGGAGGGCCGGGGATTTAGCTCAGTGGTTCCGCCGCCTGCCTCACAAGCACAAGGACCAGAGTTCGATCTCCGGTACCAAAAAAAAAAAAATTTAGTATTACCAAGATACTCATGTAAAGGTACAAGATCCCAATGATGAATGTAACTGTATTTTATACCTAAAATGTACCAATAAACTTAATGAAAAAAAAAAGACATTGTTGGTGACAATCCCAATATAAAGAGGAAAAATGGAGCTAAGTGTAAAGTATCCATGTCCTACAGAAATAAGTTTGCATTATTCAAACTAGGCTGTCATAAGTGTAAGATGTTAATTGCAATCCCAGAGATAATTGCTAAGAAAATCAGTAAAACGTACACAGCAAAGGAAAGAAAAGACAAGATGTGCCACATGAAACCCAGCCATAGGGGCAGGAGGTGTGCCAGGCTGGGCTCAGTGCTGTAATATGGGTTTGCAAAGGAATAGATTTAATACAGGACAGGGCCAGGGATTTAGCTCAGTGGTTTCACCGCCTGCTGTGCAAGCACAAGGACCCGAGTTTGATCCCCGGTGCCAAAAAAAAAATACAGGACACATAATTTATAGGATTATTCTATAATATTCACCCCAAAAGTCAAATGCAGAGGAGTGTAAGAAATCTGTCCACACCCTAGAGACCTGAAGAATCCAGCCAAGGGCCTGGATCCCACAGCAACATCCTGCACAAGTCCAGCCAGAGGCCCAGAGCCCACAGCAGTGTCTCATGCAAGTCCCTATTGAGGATCTGCACCCAGAAGCCCCAAAGGCCAGTGGTGGAAGCCAGAAACCCTGCACCTGCAGGGTGAAGAATCTGTGCCATCAGGCTGAGTCATCTGCACTGGAGCCAGGAAGCAATGCTCAAGGTAAGGACCAGAGCTCCCCTGACGACAACAACAACCATTCCCAGCAACAGCAAGGACCTGAGCTCCTCTGACGATGAGAGAACAGCCAAGTTCACATCAGGAAAACCAGCCGAGGCAAGCTTCTCCAAGAAAATCAGCAGCCCACGATCTTCCCCTCCAGTTCTCCTTTTATGCCATTGCCAACAATCCTCAGATGGGTCTTCCATGCCCAGACTATGCTGACTCAGTTAAACTGGGCGTTCCAAATTGACTATTAGTTAATCCAGTGCAGACAGCAACACCCCAAACACAAACCACAAAACTAAGTCCCTGAAAAGGTGCAAGGAGGGAACTGAACAGAGAGCGAGTAATGCACACCAAAAACACAGCTAAACGGCAAAAATCAGGGCTTTCTTCTTGGCAATTACTATAAATATAAATGGGCCAAACTGTCCAGATGCACAGGGTGGGTTACAAAAACAGGATCTCTATATGCTGTATTTAATGATGCTCACTTTGAGTACAAAGATACAGAAAGATTGCAAAGGTAGAAAAAGATATTCAATTAAAATAGTGTATTTTATGGATACCTGTAATCCCAGCACTTGGGAAGCTGAGGCAAGAGGATCCCTGAGAGTTTCAGGCCAGCCTGGGCTACATAGTGAGTTCAAGGACAGCCTTAACTATACAGTGAGACCCTGTCTCAAAAAAAAAGTGTAGCCAGAGATTTAGCTCAGTAGTTCTGCTGCCTGCCTCACAAGCGCAAGGTCCCGAGTTTGATCCACGGTACCAAAAAAAAAAGTGTATTTTAATAATACTTCTATTATTGGGAAGAAAATGATTTTTATTTCAAAAAGGTAGCAAGCGGCAAGAAAAGTATATATTGATAAAAGTTTCAATTCGGCAAGGAGATACAAGAATTGCTGAATGTGGTGGCGTACACCTGTAATCCCACACTTGGGAGGCTGTGGCAGGAGGACTGCCATGAGTTCAAGGCCAGCCCGAGCTACATAGTGAGACCCTGTCTCAAAAACAAATATATATATATATATATTCATATGAAGCAAAAAGCATCATAATTGAAGGCTTTGATAGAAACTGATAGAACCAACAGAAGCTCTATGAGGAAACAGAGGACCCGAGCATGCTGTAAACCAATCAGACCAGCAAACGTCTGCAGAACTCAAGTCAGCAGCTGTCCTCTGCTGTGCTCTCGGGGGCTCATCTAGGAGAGACTGCGGGTCAGGCCCCAGCTCAAGTCTGATTCACAGAACATCTTCCCAACTCCAGAGGAGCAAAAGTGGAACTCAACAGCAGGAAGAAAGCCAGAATCCTCACAAACACGTGGACATCACAGCGCACACTCCTGAATAAGCAGCAGGTCAGAGATCACAGGGAGACCAGGGGACGAGAGCAGAACCTACCAGGATTGAGACGCAGTGAACCGGAAGTGGTGTTCCAGGGCAACCTCCAGCAAGAAATACCTCCATAAAAAGAAAAGGATCTCAAACCAACAGCCAACTGCACCCTTCAAGGAACAACAGAAAAAAATAACAGAAGAACCCAAAGCCGGCAAAGGAAGGAAATAACACAGACATCGGCAAAGACACATGAGCTAGAGAATAGAAAAGCAATGGAGAACACTAGTAATGCCAAAAGGTAGTTCTTCGAAAAGATGGACAGAACTTTAGCTAGATGACAAGAAACAGGGAGGACTTGAATTATTAAAAAGGAACACACCGGACAAGTTGGAAAGCAAAACAGACCTTAGTCTGGCCAGACGGCACTCCCAAAGCAAAGTAGCTTAGAGAGGCAGCAAGCCCAGAGTCCGAGGCTCTTTTTATAGGGGGTTGCAGGGAAGTTAACAGGCGAAATTTACAGAACAGGAAACAAAAGTTAGTTGTCTTACATTTGTATGTTAATTAGCCTGACATGTACTGATGGTCAGCAGATGTTTTGTAGATTGTTCTATAGATAGCAGTGTCCTGGAACATCAGTTTTCGAACAAAGAGTTGAATAATTCACTTCGGGACCTTATGGCTGATACAGATCTTATCTAGTGTCCCAGAACTAACAAGCATCTTTATCTATTTACTCACATTCAATCACAGTTGGGGCTAGGGGAGTTTTATGATTACAGAGTTATGCAGTCCCACATAGCCAAGGTCAGTTCCCTCAAGAATTAGTTAAGTGAAGGCAGGTTTACTAGCAACAGTGTGAGGCGGCTGCTTCGAAAGTTTGCAATCAGGCGCGTGGCGGGCGGCCCGGTTGCCCTGGAGACCGGGCCTTTCCTCCCCGGGTGTCGCCATCTTTGGCGCCAGGTGGGGCCCAATGAGCGGCTGAGCGGTGGCAGGAGGCGGGGCAGCAGCGGCAGCTAGGCCTGGCGCCCATCTCTGTCGCGGTCATGGAGGTACCCCTCAGTCCCCTGCTCCTCCTCCTGCTGCTCGGGGATTGGGCCCCGGCTCCGGGCAGCGCCTCCTCGGAGGCCCCGCCGCTGGTGAATGAGGACGTGAAGCGCACGGTGGACTTGAGCAGCCACCTGGCCAAGGTGACGACCGAGGTGGTCCTGGCACACGCGGGCGGCGGCTCCACCTCGCGGGCCACCTCCTTCCTCCTGGCCCTGGAGCCCGAGCTCGAGGCCAGGTTGGCACACCTAGGAGTGCAGGTGAGTGCCGGCTCCCTTCCGCTGCCACAGACTGGAGCTCAGAGCTTGGGGCCCCGACAGCGCCCCCACCGGAAGTGCGGAGCCCTGGGGCGCTGGGGGGACTGAGGGATCGCGGAGAGCCTGGGGGTGGCCTAGTCCTCGCTTCGGGCCGCGTCGCCACCGGGACACGTCAGCTCACGGTCGCCCCGCCCCCCGCCACGTGGGCTCCGCCCCAGCCAACCCCCAACCCCGCGCGGGGACCTCCGGCCACGCCTGGAGGTGGCCAACGCAACCTGGTGTCGCCATCTTCATGCATCTGTACGGTCGGACACCGGGCCAGCGTTGGTGAACTACAGTGAATTACCTTCCTTTCATTCAGTATCTTGTCCTTTTAAGTGCTTCCTCCTAGACCCCATTCGGACCAACCAGAAATGGAACAGGTTTCTGGTGTTCGAGTTCGTAGTCACTTGAGACCCCCGCCCATAGAACACACTTAAGATTGCTAACGGATGCTCGCAGAAAGTTGAAACTTCTCCAAGTTAGTTTGAACTCCTACGGATAATAGAAGTCCTTTGATACTGTCCAGAAAGGTAAAGTCGATCTTTCTCTCTCACCTGTGGGTTCTCATTTTTACAGCTTAGCACTTACGGGAACACATAGCTTTGGGAATAGAGGGAATATACATGCACAGAGGTTTGCTTTTCATTACTATTTTCATTAAACACAGTTAATTAGGCGGTTACCCAATTATTTGTTGAGAAGAGACTAGTCATTACAGTGTCAGTTTCTTTTAAGCACACACTATTCGCTGGCTGAATGTGGAGTTATAAAGCTGGATTTATAGCGATTGTGTTTCTGAAGTGATTCCCTTTCATTTCTGTCCATCATGAGATGTAGTTTTACTCAAAGGTTTCTTTCTTTTCTTTTTTTTTTTTTAAGTAGGAAGATACTTATTGATAGGAAAGCTACTGAGAGGCAGGAGGGGTCCGGAGCAGGTAGTCCCTCAAAGGTTTCTGAAAATATGTCAAAACATCATTTGCCCAATAATGAATGTCATTATATATATGAAATTAATTTGAAAAAAAGAAAAGAAAAAGTCATTTAAATGCGCCGTACCACCCCTTTTTTTTTGGTACCGGGGATCTAACTCGTGTCCTTGCGCTTGCGCAGCAGGCAGCGAAACCACTGAGCTAGATCCCTGGCCTTACCACCTTTGAATGGTTTTTGTTTTTGTTTTTTGGTACCAGGATCGAACTCGGGTCCTTGCACTTGTGCAGCAGGCATCAAAACCACTGAGCTAAATCCCCTCCCCTTTATTTTTGTTTTTGCAGTGCTGGAGATTGAACCTAGGGCTCTACTACTGAGTTGCATCCCCAGCCCCTTTTTATTTTTTATTTTGACACAGAGTCTCACTAAGTTGTCCAAGGTAGTGGCATACTTGCTATCTTTGTGCTTGAGCCTCCTGAGTACCTGGGATTACAGGTGTAGTAGTCACAGTGCCTGGTTACTCTTGAATATTTTGACTGTAAAATCCCATTCTTTCACAAAAGGCAGTTGTGATTTAAGGAGGTTGTCGCAATGTCACTGGATCACAGCAGAAGGCAGCTGTCCTCCTGTCCTGCTGGCTTTATTGTCTCCCAACTTTATTGAAGTGTAATTGGTATATAAAAAACTATGGATAATTAATGAATACAGTTTGGTGAGTTTGGATGTATAGCCTTGTACACTGTGTTGCTTTTACAAATCCAGGCAATAAACACATCATCACCCCAAAAAGTTGCCTATTGTCCCTTAGACTTTGTTTTGTATTTGTGGTAAGCTAACTTAGTGAGACTCTACTTTGTGTCAGATCCCATGGGAGGTATTTTAAGTATGTTCCCTTTTAACCCTCATAGCGTCTTTCTGTTTTAGTACAGCTGGTGAGGAGTCTGTTTGGGGAGGTTGTTTAATATTGTCTTCCAGAGAAGATAAGTCTGGCCGCACCCAGGTGAGCCTGGACCACTGTGCATGCTCTTCTGTGTCCCCAGGCTACTGCCTTGCTGGCCTGAGTGAGCGGTAGCAAGGTTGTGCTGGGGTGTAAGACTGGCAGCAGCACCATTGGGTTCTTCACAGACGCTTGTTGACTCTGTAGTCCTAGAGAGACCAGTTCAAGGATGTATGTTCTGCTTTGTACCCCTTATGTGGATGATAAGCTTACCAGAGAGGGTATAGTTGCCTTGGAAACTGGTGAGTTTGCAGAAGGCTCTTGATGGATTGACTTCAGCCATGGAGAAACCTTTCAGGAGCTGGTGGAAGAGACCCTGGGATTACTGATTAGGAGCCAGTGGATCCTCTTGTACCACAAAGATCATTTCAGTTTTTGCTGTCATTTGGGCCCTGAATTTGAAAGATTTTTTTTCTCATATTTTATTAAGTAATAGTTTTTCCAATAAGACCAATAAACCTGTATATAAACAAGTGGTCATAATAAGCTTGAATATTACAATGTTACCATTATGGTAAGAGTCTAGTCAAAGTAATGGAACTTGCATCCTTGGGTCTGTTGTTTTTTTGGTTTTTTTTTGGTTCCAGTACATGCTGTTTTTTTATCACAGTAGCTTTGCAGCTTTATTTATTTATTTATTTATTTATTTATCAGTACCTGAGATCGAACTTGGGACCTTGTGCTTGCGAGGCAGGTGCCGGAACCACTGAGCTAAATCCCCAGCCCTTTGTAGTATAATTTAAAGTCAGGGATTGTTTTTTGCATGTTTTGTTTTGATGTGGTACTTGGGATTGAACCAGGGTCTTGCCTGTGGAAGGAAAGCCTCTGCCAGTGAGCTACATCCCCAGCCCAGGGATTGTTTTGCCCCTTGTCTTGCCTTTGTTGCCCAGAATTGCCTTTACTATTCTAGGTCTCTTCTGGCCTCAAATGAATTTATAGTTGATCTTAGCCAAAAGGGCGAGAAGCAGTGTGGCTTCAAATGAATTGTAGGATTGTTTTCTCTAATTTTGGGAGATATGTTGTTAGAATTTTGATTGAGATTGCATTAAATCTGTATAACAACTTTGGAAGTATGGCCATTTTCACTATATTGGTTCTTCCTATCCAAGAACAAGAGATATCTTTCTGTTTTCTGATATCCTCTTTGATCTCTTTTTTTCAGAGTACTGTAGTTCTCAATGTAGAGGTTACTTCTTTCATTAGATTGATTCCTAGGTATTTCATTTTTTTGGATGCTATTGTGAAAAGTGTGTTTCCCTAATTTCTCTCTCACTGAGTTTATTATTTGTGTACAGGAAAGCTACTGATTTTTTGAGTGTTGACTTTCTATCCAGCTAAGCTACTGAATTTGGTTATTAAATCTAGAAGTCTTTTGGTGGAGTTTTATTGAGGTCATCTATGCACAGTATCATGTCATCTACAAATATGATAATTTAACTTCTTCCTTTCCTATCCTTATTCCTTTTCTTTTTTTTGGTACTGGGGATTGAACTTGGGACCTTGTGCTTGCGAGGCAGGCAGCGGAACCACTGAGCTAAATCCCTGGCCCAAGTATCCTTATTCCTTTTAATTTTTTGGTTTTTTTTGCTTTCTGACTATTTATGACAAATGTTCCACATCCACATCTCTCTCCACTCAGGAGTTCTTTGAGATGATGCCATCAGCCTTGGCCAATCGTAGAACAGTCATCTGATTCACCCATCCTGCAAATGGCCCTGCAGATGGCGAAGGTTTTAAACTGGCCATTAAACCTGCCCATGACCTTGTCAACCTCAAGCACATTTATCTGGATGGATGCATGGTCCTTGGCACCAATAATGCGGTTGCTGGCAGAGCACTTCTGTGGCACATACAGGTCCATGAACTCGCCCGCGGCGTTGTTCTGCACATTGAGGCCCGGCCTGCTGCCTCCACCATTAGTGGGGGCAGAGAAAGGAAAACATATATATATATATCTCCATATGATTTTTTTTTTTTTTTGCAGTACTGGGGATCAAATGCAGGACCTTGCACTTGCAAGGCAGGCACAGTGCCACTGAGCTAAATCCCTGGCCCTTAATTTCTTTCTCTTGTCTAATTGCTGTGGCTAATGTTTCCAGAACTATATTGAACAAGAGTGGTGACACTGGATATCCTTGTCTTGTTCCTGATTTTAGAGTGAAAGTTTTCAATTTTTGTCCATTTAGTATCATGTTGGTTTGTCATAGATGGCTTTTATCAGATTGTGATAAAGACCATCTATTCCAATTTTCTGTAGGATTTTTATCATGAGTGGGTGTTGGACCTTGTCAAATGCTTTTTCTGCATCTCTTGAGATGAACATGTTTTTTGTCCTTGGCTCTGTAAATATAGTGTACTACATTTATTGATTTGCACATGTTGAACCATCCCTGCATCCCTGGGATAAATCCAACTTGGTCATGGTGTATAATCTTCTTGATGTTTTGCTACATACATTTTGTTTGCCAGTATCTTTGTTTTGTTTTTGGTACCGGGGATCGAACTCTGGACCTTGCACTTGCAAAGCAGGTGGCGGACCCACTAAGCTACATCCCTGGCCCCATATTTGCCAGTATCTTATTGAGGATTTTTGGATCTATTTTCCTTAGGGAGATTGGGCTGTAGTTCTCTTTTTTGGTTGGATCCTTCTCTGGTTTTGGAATCAGGGTAATGCTTGCATCCAGGAAAGAATTTGGGAGGTTTGCTTCCCTTTCAATTTCATTAAAGAGTTTGAGGGCCAGGGATTTAGCTCAGTGGCAATGTGCCTGCCTTGAAAGCGCAAGGTCCTGAGTTTGATCCCTGATACTAGAAAAAAAAAAAAAAAAGAGTTTGAGAAGTAGCAGCGTTAGTTCTTCTCTAAATTTCTTGTAGAATTCAGCTGTGAATATGTCAGGGCCTGGGCTTTTCTTTGTTGGTCTGGTTTTAATTACATCTTCAGTTTCATTGACTGATATTGGTTTATTTAGAATTTTTGTATCTAGGAGTCTGTCCATTTCTTCTGTGTTTTCCATTTTATTAGAATATAGGTTCTAGGGCT